ACAACAATTGTGTCTTTGCACGCATCAAAGTTTTGTGTGAAAGAGTTCAGGTCTTTTTCTTTTAAAAAACATTAATGACATAGAAAATCAACAAAAAGAAATTCCAAGAGCATAGCACAAGACGTCAATCACGAAAAGAATACAAAATTGCATCCTTCGCTAATTATATTAGTTTCTAAGTATTTCAATCTGATTACACTTTAAGATACAAGTTATACAAACCTCTGCTTCTTCAATAGCATCCTCTCCCATGCCCCATGAGATACCGTCAGAAAGAGATGCTTCCGCCCTTGCTCGTCTAAGTGAAGCTTCTTGATCTAACAACTCTTCTCGGATCTTAGCTTCTCTGATGACTTTCAAGTCTTTTTCCTACAACACAAAAACATTAGAAAAGTAACAGCAATTTAACACAGTAAAGAAAATTGCATAAAATATATGAAGTAAAATTTTAATGGCTGAAACAATAGAAAACTTCTGCTGTTTCTCTCTAATTCTTCTTTCAATACAACAATATAATGTAACTAAATGTTAAAGCCAAAGAGAAGGTTATGACCCAGAACATATAACTCAACAAAGTATTTCCTAATAGCATTTCCTTCAAAAGATGTCAAGTAACCAAAGTAAATAAAATAACTCAATTTTTTTTATCCTTTGAAAATGATACAACGGGATTCTTAATTGTTATTTACCTAGACTATTACTCCTACCACCAATTGCTTCAATCTTCAATCATTTTAGAAATTTAAAAAGAAAAACTATTGATTCCATAGGGAAAGGTGGCATGAAATTCATCAATGCACAGGACGCTCAGAGGTTTAACAAAATTTAGTAACCCACCCTAGCCACTGCTCTCTAAAGTATTCCAAAAGAGAGTTCCAGTTAAAATATATTCAGATTGTTGGATGCAGAGTCATGATGTTACATTCCCAGCAATTAAAATGTCAGATATTTATGCATGCATTTATGAATAAACTAAAATGAAAGGGTATGAAACATGATGGAGATTTTTGCCTACATGATTGCCACTGCACAGGTCTGTACATTAGTTCATAAAATGGGACGCGAACATGTGATTGAGTATGATTACTGACAAGTGAGTTTCATGAGTTTTTTAGAAACTGGAAACTGGAAATTCTAATAAAGAAAAGATTATCAACAAACAAATCTGAGGACAAAAAGTAATTCTATCTGTTAAACACTTCAACCCCTAAATTGAAAAACTAATAGCAAATGAAAGAACAGAAAAAACCATAAATTCGTAGCATAAAAAATCTTACTGGTGGCATCAACTCAGAAGGCCCTTGGAAAATATACAAACGAATGACCTGCACAATAAGAAAGTAGAAAAAATAATCAAACCTGACATAATATCTTATTTCTCTCCTTGTTTCCTTTTTCTTCATAGTAAAAAAACAAAGACATCCAACATGGTAAATGAGGTGAATGCAATGAAGCATTAGAAAGTTCAGAAAGTGTAGAGCAAACTGAACCCCAAGCTATTAAAAATAAAACCAATAGAAACTTATACAGCTAAATCTGCAAAATCCACCCCCCTCACCACCATCTTCCCTATGTTTGCAGGCCTATAAAAAAGAAATGATGAATTTACAAGTGAAGAAAGTACGCCTTCTGATCAATACTTATATCATTTTTTCCCACCATAAAATCTATGAGGCCCAAGGGATTCTGCATAAAGGAGCTAAGCCAAATAGTCCTTTAGTGGGGACAAGGGACGGACCGATATATGAACATCAGAATAACATGCAATGCTCAACCAAATTTTGGATCTAAGACTGATATTGCATTTTCCCTTTACAAAAGATACCAATCAAATGAGTAATTAAAATAATACAAAAGAAAATCAACCAGATGAAAGGCATTGAAAGAAAGATAAAGAAATGAAAATATGAGCAAATCAAGACACCCAAGCACAAGTATACTTACTGGCCAAACCGAATGACATCACCTACGTGTAAGTCCACATAAGTCCTTTTTGTTACCTAATTATTTAGGAAAGAATATCAACTCAGCATGAGATATGACAAGCACAAGAAATTATAATCTAGCAGAAAGTCCATAAAATTTTCCACATAATATCAAACAAGCAACTTAAAGCAACTGGACAACCAAACATCAATTGCTTATGATAACAGAGGTTCAGTCATCTTCACCCTCTACAAGAGATATACAAATCCCGAACAAATTAAGAATATGTATGTTTATCTACTCTTTGCTTGATTGAATCATTAAAAAAGAAATTATAAGCATCAATAACTTCCTGGCTGATAGAAGCAAAAATAATAGGAGAAGAAAGGATTTATGCGAGGAAGCCCAGCCAATACTATTGAACATTGTAAGCATAGCTCTAAAATGTCCAACTGTAACAACCTAAGGCTAAAAATTCAAATTATAGATAAGATATCCTGAAAATGCCCCCAATAAAAGAGATCAAAATTTCAAAAGCAGCAAATAAGTGAAAGAATCCAAGAGAAAAATTTCAAGCATGAAGCAGAGAGTTGACCTGCAAATATTACCATCTTAGCCAAAAATCCAAAAAAAAAATAAGAAAAAACTGAAACAAGGTAGCATGATAATATGCAACTCAATACAACAAACAGAATACAGTTGCATGGCAATACCTGACTCTTGTTGATAAAAGTGCCATGCGTACTGCCAAGATCATAAAGATAGGCCTCCCCGCTGCTCCTAAACTGAAGCACTAGTAAAGAGAAACAAGTAATTAAAAATAACAAAAGGAAAACCATTAGCATATTCCTATAATTAACGTTCTACTTAATCCTAGAATTCCTATATTTGTGCATAAAACCATAAATATTTCAAGTGCAACAAACAGCCTACTAATAGTATTACAAGGATAAGGAAGAGGAAAAAAATTTACAAGAATAAAATCTCATCAAACACCATCTTTTTTGGGCAATGTAAAAACACAATTTTGTTTAGTTCAGATGCCACAAATTTGTTAGTGGGGTGGTGATGAGCAAGTTTTTGTAAAATAGAAAACACAAGTGAGTTAATTGGAGATTAGAGAATGCATTCATTGTGCTGCCCAAGACAAATCAAACTTCTAGAGGGTATAGAGTCTAACATTTTAGACAAATTTGATTAATTGGTTCACAAGAATATAACAACCCTCACATGCTATCATGTCAGGCAGCCAAATATGGTTTATTATAAAGTACAAAGAGCAGCCAGAAGGAAGAGTTCACCAAATCATAAAAGCTATACTGCAGAAAATAAAGATAACTACATCTTAGTTGGCCAACTTAAAGAATCAAAATTGGAGAAGGTTGATAGCCTTCATAATGAACTTGAAATATGTTATGCCAATAACCATAACATTGACGATGTAAACTTCACAAAGTAGAAAAAATCTATAAAATCTTTGTTTCTTGGGCATCCAACTGATTTGCCATTTAAAATCATACATTTTCTTGCTTAGCTAATTGAATCTACTTCCTTAGAATCCCAACAAAATAACATATTGTAGCCCTTATTTAATTCTAGAAACAAATATTTCCACAAAGACAAAAAATTATTTTCAACTCCGCCAACCAAACTTAAGTTATTTAATAACTAGCTTAATCCTCATAGAAAATTAAAATAGTCAAATAAAAAGATTTACCAGCATGAAACCGCGAAATAGTGGGATGCTCAAGCACAAAATCGCAGAGATCAACACGCCCAAACATATAGGCTCCCTTCTCGTTCCTATAAAAACAAAGTTCACTATTATTCAACAATTCCAAAAATAAATAATAAAAATGATGGCTTCAAAGGAAAGGGTAAAAGTAATTACACTTGAAATTGGTCAACGATGCAGCCATCTTTAAGGACCTCAAGGAAGAAGCGGTGAGAAGGAGGTCCACTCCACTGAGGGATTGTGTAAGGTACAGAAGATTGCTTTGAATTTGATTGCTTTTCAATTGAATTCGGTTCTGAATTTGAATTTGATTGTTTTTCTTCGTCTAGGGAGTTAGGGTTTTTGGGAGGAAGTGGCGGAGGACCCATGGAGGGTTTGTCTGTTGTGGGTTCGGATTCTTCTTGGATGATCAGTTCGGGTTCCGTCGACGGGTTAGGGTTTCGGGGAGGTGGTGGACCCATCGCGGATGTCATGGCTGCAGAGAGAGAGAGAGTGAGGCGGAGAGGTGTTGCAGAGTCCGAGGAAGACTAAACGCGCCACGGGCGAGCTACGTTAAACAGATCTTAAATTGGGTTTGCACTAAAGGGGAAATGGGCTGGCTCGGATTTTGGGTGGACTCCCCTTTTCTTTTTTTTTTTTTGGGAATATATGCAAGGAATAGACAAGGCTCAAATTATAGAATTACAGACATATATAATAAGCCACATACAATACCAACATATTGACATACTCTCGTGCTAATTTTTTTCCTCATTGCTTTTTATTTTTTTTTTCTCAACCACATTTTGGTATAAATTAAAAAATTGATTCATAAAAATATTAAAGATTGATTGAGTTCCTCCGTAAAGAAAGAGAGATTGTCACCCAACTTTCAAAAATCTATAATTATATGTTTTTTTCAATTTTTTTTTATAATAAAAAATTATAAAAATTAAGATTTAAATTTTATATTTATTGATGTTATCTCGAAAAGATACTAAATGAATCAATTACGCTAAACTTCAAATTTATATTTTCTTCAATTTGATATTGATTTTTTTGGCTAAATTCTTGTTAATCTTAACAAACAAGGGTTAAACAATTGCATCATTTTGGTGAAAATGGGAATAATTAATTTCATATTCTTACTAGAGAGGCCGAAATACTTTTACCAACTATTTCTAAATTGACCAATATTATGTTGTTTAGTGGCTCAATACCTACATTGTTTTCTATCACAATCTCCCTCATATTTTGCTTATGGAATTGCTGTCATCTATCACTAAAACACCAATTAGATACAGTCCAAATAATGCTGAACTATCGATGCTGTTGATGAATAACACAAATCTGCTGTTAATCTTTATTTTAATTAATATAGCAGAAATGCAAATCTTTTTCCAACTTGTAAAAATGTGAAGCAAATTGCACATTTGCAGTATATAAAAATCCTGGAAACATCAAAAGGCGTTGTAATAATCTGAACAACCCTAAGTCCCTGGATGATCAATTATTTCCAGAGAAGTGAAACAGACATGTACATTCACCCAACAGTACATTTGATTCATAAAAACATAAAAAAACAAAGCACCCAAAAAAAAAAAAAAACTAAATGTACTTTAGATCATGGAGGTGGATGTTGGTAGACAGATTGTACTTTAGTTTCCAACAAAGAAACATATCTATCAAGAACTGAAATCACAGCTTCAAACTCGGTGACTTGCTGTTCTATCGCATCGATCTGTTGAACATACTCATCAAAGTTCCCACTCTTGTTTTTCAACTGTTCAACGAATACCCTTAACCCAGATGCCACATCCCCAAATCCTTTATATTCCTCTGCCACCCTCAAATTCATCTTCTCCAATAGCTCCAAAATATTGTTAGTTCCCTGCAAAAACGATGGGTAAACAAAAAATGGGCAACCCTCAAAAGGATATAAAATTAACCCATACATGTCAATTTAGTGAATTAATTGGAGTTTTGTAGAGAAAATGTAGATGGGATTTCTTTTTTGTTGGGAGTTATTGGGTTCGGGGATACCTGAAGTTCGGATTTGACCATGGAGGAGAGGCTGGTGAAGAGATCGTTGAGCGACTCGGCAAGCTCGTCTTGGACCTCTGGATCTTTATCAGCCATCGCTGGACCCAATTTTTTGTGTTTCTTTTCTTCAACGATGGGATGAAATTGGTTGTTAAAGGAAGTAAAAACATATTAACTATATTAATGGACCAAACCCAATGGGTTGGCTTGGGTTGGGCAATTAGCTTGGGTTGCCTTTTCAAAGTAAAGTCCTTACTCATTTTGGTCCAAGTCCAACTATTTAGATATTTTTTAATATTTTAACTGATAATTTTTTTTATTTTTTTTAATATTTAAAATAAATAAATTATCCAATTCTTTAAATCAAGATAAAATATGTTATACCGAAAAATTTTAAAAAAATAATTATAAATTATACATTTAAGATGACATCAATAAACGACCATCAATATAATTTGAATTCAAAATGTTTTCATAAAAAAAAAAAATTTTAATCAATTGAATCAATCATTTATTAATGATAATTTCTTTTAATTATTTCATCGAGCTAGAGCCCTCGCAACATTATACTATTTCATTTTTTTGTTTTGTCTAATTATTTTATTTAAGGTTGAACGTTAGTAAGTGGAAACCATTTAACCTGACAAAAATCGTTTGCATTTGGTAAATTTGAATTGATTTAATCAATTTCAAGTATATGACAGTTTCACTCTCGACTTTAATAATTTTCTTATCAATTGTCAATGTTAAATTTTGAAATTTGATCGAAAAACTAAATTACCCTAATTAATTAATAAGATATATTATTAATATCTTTTAATCTTTTGCTTTTTTACCCATTTTACCAAATGCAACCCTAGCCCCAAATTTTTCCCTCTCATTTGCTTTGTTTTTTGCAGCCTTGCCTTCACCGTCACACCCATATCACCTCACGTACCTCTCGACTCCTCTCACGGTCAGCACTTTGTTGCAATTAACATCCAATCACCCCACCAGTGACCACTGATCAAGCCCACCACCAGCCATCCTTTGGCCTTCTCCCTTAGAGTTGGGACTGTTTCTTTAAATTACAACTTAGCAAGTTACTAACGGACTCCACCACCATAGACGGACAATGATTTTATTTTCTTCTTTAATGGCTCCTCCAGCAAGTTTGGCACTAGTGAAGGTTACTCACCATCAAAGGCAAAGGCGGATCCTAATACAACCTAGAGGGGGGCCTTGGCTCCTCCAAAATTTTAGAATCTTCAAGTAACATTAAAGTTACGTTTAACGCGTAAGATAATAGATATAATAAAATAATAATTTTTATTATGTTTAATTTATATCTTAAATAAAATTATAAAAAAATAATCATATTTTTGACATAAAGATTAATCATGTTTTTAGTATAAAATGATTCAATTATCCTCAAACGAAAAAGATTATTTTTAATTTATAAAATTAAATTTACATATTTAATTATACCGCTTAAAAATTATATCAATAATTTAAATTATATAATTTTTAAATAAAAATAATTTTAAAAAATAAATAAATTATTTTATTTTAATTTTATATCAAATATAAAATAAAATGATATTATTTAATCTAATCTCATATCTAATATTATCCTATTTTATTTTATCATAATCTTATATACCTAACACATTTTAGATGTCTATGAATAGAATTAATGAATCTAAAAGCTCTTGCTCCCATTGCAAATGTCTAATGCTCGATCGGCTTGGTTAAACCACTTAATGATATTCAACTAAAAATATTTTGAACTTCAAGTGGCAGAGGCATGCAAAAGACCAGTAAAACAGGTCTCCTAGAGGTTTTTCTTGGGCAGTTGAAACCTGATAATTCATGAATGTGTGTAGTGTAAAATAACTCATGTATTTCTATTTTGTTTTAAGTTAATTTAACAAATAATTTATTTATGTTTTTATTGTTTAAATCGTTCACAATTTCAAATAAAATTATTTATTTGATGTGTTATGTTTGTTTGTACATTTGCTTATGAATTAATAAAATTTATAATTTTGTAAATTATTTTTAGTATATTTCTTTCATATATGTATATATTTATATTAATAATATAATGAAAAACATTTGAAAAAAAAAAGATGTAATATAATATTAATTGATTCATTTAAAATCAAATGTCAAGATTTATCACTGATCAAAGGTCAGTGAGCCAAACTGCATAACTTTTAATTTTGTTGCATTATTTGTTTTATTTCTTCAAAATCGTATATATTTTACAATTTTTTTTATATAGTGGTTCTTTATCTTTAACTTTAAATGGTATGATGTTGCATAATTAGTTATTGGCTTACTTAATTAGGTGTCTTTTTTTTTTGTCAGAAGAGCATGGAGTTCATGGATGTTTGAGGTTTTGTTCTGTTTTTTTTTTAAAAAAAAATTACACCACATTTTGGTCACTATAGTTAAGGATATGAAGCTGCTGCCCAGATGGGTTGCACCTTTGCTTGCCTAATCCCCAACGTTTAAATGTAATTCCAGAACGACTTAATCTTTGATTTCTTTGACTCTATACTGAGAGTTTGTTCTGCTTATTGGTGAATTTTGTTTACTGAGGGTTTGTTTCTACTAGTAAACTAATTATGCATATAAGTTGTGAACAGAAAATGTAAAATCGATGGCCTAGGTGTTTCGCTCAGTGTTTGCTGAGTTTAACAGTCAAAAGAGCAGCAAATACAATCAGGTCAACTCCAGGAACTACCCCCAAAATTTTCAAGGTTTGCAGGCAAGTTCATAAGCCAGAATCAACTATGGTGCGTGTCAAGTTAAACCCAGATCCATGGAAAGAAGCTACTCCAATTTTATTGACCTTATTACCGTTAGAGGCCTAGGACATAATATTGGCCGAATAACGTTAAAATACCCACAAAAATCTAGATAGCTCAGTGCAGCCAATATACTATGCTTGCAATTTCACAACTTGATTTAATGTTTATACAACATGATTTAAAATCAAACAAGAAAGGTACAATACTGCATACAGAGGGGATGATACATAAAACTCCATACACTTGCCTGACAATCTAACTTTTATACATAGGAAGAAAACTTCACCTTATTAAATACCTTATCAAACCTCCTTCGAAAACCCAGATTTTCGAATTAGACCTCAAATTATTCTATATTCAAGGAAAATATGACCATAAATGTCTTCTCCTGCAATCAAGGGAACAGCCAGATGGATCATGCCCTGGGCCCTCCTTCTGAATTCTTCTTAAACAGCGCGTAGGCATCGCTATATATGGCCACCACGTTTGAGAATACAGCAAGGAAAATCATAAAAAGAGCTAAGATCTTGTCCTTCTTAGTTGCTATAAAGTGGTGATCCCTGAAATGCCAATGGAAAATGATTTAATGTTAAATCTATGATTAGTATTGAACTAAAAATTAATAGATTATAGTCAGCTCATAAGTCCAAAGAAAACAATCAAGAAAACTATTAAACTAAACAATATTAAGCAAATGACAAGAAGCATTTCACTTACAATTCTTTTACTACGATCCTACAATTGCCTAATCACAATCAATAATTACATAGAGTCCATCATTTATAAGTGTTGACTCCACATAATATTTTGATGGACCCTACATGATTCTAAATTTTGATTGGTTAATTGTAGTACAATTATTGTAAGTGATATGCTCCCGCAGGGCAGATAAGGCAAATGCAACAATTCTCAATAACATCACTTTAGAGCCAAAGATGAACCTAAGAGGGTGCCTTTTTTTTATAAGTACAATCAGCAATACCAATAGTTAGAATCAAGAGAGCCTAGCAGTGGCAACATCTCATGATTCTTGACAATTGACAATAATACCCAACTTTTCGGGATGTTGGACATTAAAAGCATGTCTCACAAGTTCTAAATGCAAATCGAGTTGCAGTTTAACCTTAACATTTCTGAGTCACCAAGTGCATTAGCCCTTGCCATAGCATATAAATATTTAGGCTCATTGATAGTCTACTGCAATGTATGTATCTAATTGAATTGAAAGATCAAAAACTCACCTAAGAGTAATAGCAGCAGGAAAAATGAACCCTAGGCAAACTGCAGCAGTTGCTCCAGTGAATTGGAAAGCATCCCAGATGCTGGGTATGAAATTTGCACCCAAGAAGATAACTGTGATGAGCCCAACGGTAATAAAAGCAAACCTCATATTAGACAGAGCTAAAGGCCTTGCAGAAGGGAAGAGGAGGCCATCAATGTTGAGTCGCAGTGGATAGAAGACAATTGGAAATACAAGCATGAGGTGAGCAGCATAGCTAACACGGACAGCATCATTAAGCAGGGAGCTGTAGGGAATGCCAAGGTCAGTATCAAAGTTGGCAAGCACATCATCCAATGTTGCATCACCAAATAGAAGGAATCCAAAAAAGCTTGTCATTATGTAAACAGTTGAGCATAAAGCAAGTGTTGTTCGCACAACTGGTTTTATCAGGGTAGAGTCTTCCAGTTCATTATCTATGCTGTGAACTGCAAATTTAAGCACAAAAGAATGTTAGCCATTCTTCTTATCCCGCACCAATGTAAAACCTGAAAAGCACATTACTTAAAGCAAGAGACTAGTTGCTGAATCAACTTGTATACCATTGTAATGGCAGATAAATGCAGTGACTACAACAGGTACTACGGTGAAGAGTTTCCAGAATGAGGTCAAATCAGTGACATCAGGTAGCAATCTAGGCATCATTATAGTTCCACTAATCAACTTGACAACTGCTATTCCCACAGTAATGACAAGAAACACAACTGCCAGAGCAACTGATAAGGCAGATGTAAATCTCAAGGAATCTGCAATCATGAGAAGGCATAACTGCTCGTTAGTCACAACTAAAAAATAAGCATGCAATACAAACTATCCAACTTATATTTATACAGATATAAAAGTATGGGGTTCTGATAGTTCATATGCTTTAGTAAAGTGTAACGATGAGCAAAAGAGTGCTGCTAAAATCTATATGACACATATTTATACAGGTATAAAAGTATGAGGTTCTGATAGTTCATATGCTATAGTAAAGTGTAAAGATGAGCAAAAAAGTGGTGCTAAATCTATATGACACACATACAGTAAACACTTAAATAGCATTTGGATCAACTGCATTTG